GCCTTCATGGAGAGAGAATTTGAGTACAGGAGAAAGGATGAATTGCGACAATTTAACAGGGTATGTGTGAGACAACATCTGGAATACTGACAGCAGGTTTGGCCTCCTTATCTGAGGAAGGATGGTGTTACTATAAAGGCAGTTTTAATGTGCATATTGCTGTGATGGAAGGAGAAATTGAATTGTTTTTGAAAATATGTGCTTAAATTCAGAAGAGTGAGGGATCCTCTTAGAAAGCTATAAGAAACTGGCAGACCTAGACAATATAAATGCAGGAAGAATGTTCCTGATGGTAGGAGTCATATTTTTAGGAGATAGGTAGGCCATTTAGGGTCAGAAAGTGAGAGTTTTCTTCATTCAGAGAGTGGTGTGCCTGTGGAATTCTCTGCCACAGAAATTAACCATGTCCAACGCATTGTATGATTTCAAAAAGGAGTTGGGTGAGGCACTTGTGGCCAAAGGGAATCAAGGTATAATTGGTTTAATGTCAAGAGACAGAGAGTGACGGTGAAGGGTTGCTTTTTGGACTGGAGACCTGTCACCAGTGATTTTCCACAGGAGTGATTCTGGGTCCTCTTTTGTTCGTCATTATATAAATGATTTGAATGAGAATATAGAAGGCATGGTCAAAATGTTTCTGGATGATAGCAAAGTTGGTAGCACAGTAGTAAGTGGAGAAGGTTTCCTAAGATTACAAATGGATCTTGATCAAATACCTCAATGGGCTGCAAAATGGCAGATGGAGTTAATCTGGATGAATGCAGGGCTTTGCATTTTGGTGCAACATACAAGGGTCGGCCTTGTACAATTAATGGTAGGGCCTTGGGTAGTGTTGTAGAACAGAGGGACCTAGCATTCTATGAAGTCTGCATCACATCTCAACAGGGTGGTTAAGAAGTCATGCTTGCCTTCATTTCACAGTCCTTTGAGTTTAGGAGGTGGGAAATCTTTTTGAGGTTGAAGGGACATTGGTGAGGGCACTTCTGGAATACTGTGACCAGTGCTTGTTGCACTGTCAGAGGAAAGATATTATTAAGCTGGAGAGGGTTCAGAAGAGATTCACCAGTATTTTGCCATGTGTGTCAGGCTTGAGATATAAAGAAAGGATGGATAAGCTGGGACTTTTTTTTTCACTGGAGCATAGAATGTTGAGAGGTCACCTTATAGAAGTTTATAAAATAATGAGGGGGATGAGACAGAGTTGACGGTCGTTGTCTTTTGCCTGGGATGGGGGCAATGGAAGACCACGGTGGACATTCTTAATGTGACAGGAAAGAGATTTTTGAAAAAAAGGACACGAGGGGCATTTTTTTTTTACAGAGAGCATGGACGCATGTGGAATGAACTTCCTGACGAAATCGTCTATGTGGCTACAATTACAATATTAAAACGACATTTGGATAAGTATATAATTATGACAATTTTGAATGGAAATAGGCCAGGAGCAGGTAGGTGGAACTAGTTTAGTTTGGCATTATATTCGGCATGTGCGAGTTGGACTGAAGTATTTGTATCCTTGCTGTATGACTCTATATGAGAGAAAAAAACTGACACAGGCTATTGAATTGGATGATCTGCCATTTTCATGATGAGTGGGAGGAGAGATTTCATGGGCCGTTTGGTTCGGTCCAGTTGCTGTTATCTATATTTCTATGTCTGTTGATTCCCAGAACCGATGTTGAGTATTGTCACCGGAATGAAAAATACTGATCTGGGCGATCAATATAACTTCAAACCATTTGGTTGGCTCTTGCTGCTGAATCTGGAGAAGAGCGAATCTCCGGCGCAGAAGCCTCAGAGAGTTTAACAGTTACTGAGGAGAAAAACTACAACTAACTCCCTGGATACCGGAGCAAAGGCTGAGAGGAGGAGAAATTGTATCCTTTCACATGTACATTTGGTGATATTTCTGGCCTGTGATTGTGTGGCTCTGAATATTGTGTCAAAGAGACTTTAGGAGAAGGGCGGGCGGGTTAGTCTAATATAACTGTGTTTGTGCGTTCTTTCGTAATATGGTATCTACCAGCCCCTCTTGTTCAAATCAATAGGATTTTCAATTCAACTTATCCCCCTGCTCCCCACTAAACTCCAAAGATAGAATTCAAGCCAATGTATTTGTTGATTTTAAGATTTCAGTCTAAAAGTGACGATAATGTCGGCGCTCAGCTCAGAGAGCGCGATCAGTGCAGCAGCAAAATGCGTTTAACTCGACAACGGAGCCGTCAATTCGAGAGAAAACGTTTTGGCCGCAAACCTTCCCGTGTCAGGGTCAGGAACGATCGAGCCTGGCTCTCTGGAGAAGCGGAATTGCAGAGGGATTGGAGAGTTTCGGTCGAGAGAGAAACACAGAAAGGCAGCAGGAGCAGGGAGCTGAGGGCAGGTTGTCTCTGCGCCTTCCGCTCGCTGCCTTTAAGTTGCTCAGTGCCGCCACCAGCAGCTTCATTGCTGACCCAGTTCAGTCTGACAGAGAGAAATTTAGCGCAGAGTTCTCGACATGAGCGACAGTGCAGCCGCCGAAACGGCTCCTCCAACCTCCGCCAGCACCAAACCCAAGATTCCCCAGAAGAAGAAGGCGGTGGCTCCCAGGAAAAAAACCATCCGGTCCTGGGTTGGGCGAGCGGATTGTGAAGATTGTCGGCGAGATCAGCGATCGGAAAGGGACGTCTCTGGCCGCTATAAAGAAGGCGCTGCAGAGAAGCGGGATCAATGTGGAGAAGAAAAATGCACAGATCAGGATGGCTATCAAGAGGTGTCTGCCGAAAGGCTCCTTGGTTCTGGTCAAGGGCCAGGGCGCCTCCGGCTCCTTCAAACTCCCACAGAATCCAGTCAAGGCAAAAGTGGGAAAGAAGGCGAGACCAGCAGCATCCGCCAAGAAACCAGCCGTGAAGAAAACCAGCCAAGAAGGTGACAGCGAAGAAATCCCCAGTCAAGAAAGCGGCCGGCAAGAAGGCAGCAACGCCAAAGAAAGCGGTGAAGAAAGCAGCGCCTAAGAAAAAAGACTCCCGTGAAGAAGGTGAAAAAGACCAAGAGCCCCAAGGCCGCAAAACCGGTCCCGAAATCGGGTAAATCGAAGGCCAAGCCCAAAGTGAGAGTGACCAAGAAAGCAGCAAAGAAATGAAGCAGTCTGTGCAACATGTAACCTTCTGAATCCAAAGGCTCTTCTCAGAGCCACCCACATCTCTCAGGAAAGAGCTGAGCCCGGATCAAATGATCCCTGTCCCATCTTCGAGTGCAGGGATAAATTATATATTAATTAATGTGATTAACTCGTCCACATTTCTCTGCCAGATTTACACCCAGTCTCTCTCTCACATTCCACAATAAATCAGTATTAGGTCCACATCATACTGCCCATAGGTTCGGGTGCAGTTTCATTTCATGTCCGTCTGCTTTTCACATATTCAGGGATAGTCCCCGAGAGGAACACTGGGCCAGAAACCCCGCTTCGCAACACAATCCCCAAGAAATGATTTTCTCCCATTCAGCTAAAGGAATGGAAACTGACATTGAAATGGAAGCAACCGTGTGTTGTCTCGTTAAGAAAGGCCGGGATATGGCCGTTTAATTGTGTCGCAACTGCTTTTAAAAGTTCCAGGTTTTATTATCTTTGAACATGAAGCTTGAGTCTGTATGTTTTTTTGCCGGGCATTATGTTCACAGCCCTTGTGGAGAAAAGGTTGAGTTCCAGATTCATTTGGAGGCTGTAGTTAGCTGGAGGCGGAGCTGGACATTTCTCTGTCTGTCACTCAGTTTCCTGCCCGGGCCGCCTCTCACTCTGTGTCAGCTGTTTCTCACTCAGGTCGGGGCGGGCTGTATAAAAAAGGAAGGTGAGGCAGCGCGAATCGCATTCGGCAGCGATTGGAGTGAAGAAGTGTGATGTCTGGAAGAGGCAAAGGAGGCAAAGGCCTGGGAAAAGGCGGAGCGAAGCGGCACCGCAAAGTGCTCCGTGATAACATCCAGGGCATCACGAAACCAGCCATCCGGCGCCTGGCTCGCCGTGGTGGGGTCAAGCGCATCTCGGGCTTGATCTATGAGGAGACCCGCGGGGTGCTGAAGGTTTTCCTTGAGAATGTGATCAGGGATGCGGTCACCTACACTGAGCACGCCAAGCGCAAGACGGTCACTGCCATGGATGTGGTGTACGCTCTGAAACGCCAGGGCCGCACTCTCTATGGGTTCGGCGGCTGAGCAAATCGACCCTTTTCCAGCGAACCCAAAGGCTCTTTTCAGAGCCACCCAAACCCTCCAAGTGAGAGCGGAGACCTGAGCACAGGAAAGGCAGCACATAGAGAGGGTGTAGTGTACCGCAGCTGGTTATTCCATATCTCGAATTGTAATTCTGCCCTGATGCGAAATGTCACAGATTGCAGTATTTCTATTTCATTCCTTCCAGGAATGATATTCAGTTCAGTTTTCATTCAGGGAAGCCTGCAGATGTTTTAATGGCCTGTTGTTACACTCTGTTACAGTTTTTGGACTAATTGAGCCGATAAATTGAGATTGTGTAACTTTTTTTAGCGGACACTGTTAGCTTTGAAGATGCTTCAATCGGCGGTGTTATTTAGATTTATTAACGGAGGTGACACGGCCGGTTGATTAGTTTGAGATAACAAGGTGTGGAGCTGGATGAACACAGCAGGCCAAGCAGCATCAGAGGAGCAGGAAGGCTGACATTTCGGGCCTAGACCCTTCTTCAGAAGTCTGGGCTGTGTTAAAACCCCGCGCTTTCCTCCTACATGTTAGGGGCAGATAGGCAATGATCCCGCGTCCTGTCCGCGTTAACTGCAAGTTAGGTTTAAAAAGAAATCCCACAAAGTACAGATTTTATCGTCGTTGGACTTTATTTTGCATTTAAATATTTAACTTTAATTTCAGGATTGCGAGGGTAAAATCGGCGGGCTTTTTGAAATTGACAAACTGTCATTTCAAGTTAACCAATCAGACTCCAACAACTATTTTATTGCCTTTTCTGTACCTTCCGCAGCTGTTTCTCATTGGGTTGAGGGACGGGACTGTATCCAATCCCAGCTCTAAGGCGGTCTCTTCAATTCCCTTAAATAGGCAGCACTGCCGCAGGCTCAGCATTGATAGCCGCAGCGTGTACGTGTCTTGCAGAGAATGGCCAGAACCAAACAGACAGCGCGTAAATCCACCGGAGGAAAAGCTCCCCGCAAGCAGCTGGCGACCAAAGCGGCCCGCAAGAGCGCTCCGGCCACGGGCGGAGTGAAAAAGCCTCATCGCTATAGGCCCGGCACAGTGGCTCTGCGGGAGATCCGCCGCTACCAGAAATCGACCGAGCTGCTGATCCGCAAACTGCCCTTCCAGCGCCTGGTGCGGGAGATCGCTCAGGACTTCAAGACCGACCTGCGGTTCCAGAGCTCGGCCGTGATGGCCCTGCAGGAGGCCAGCGAGGCTTACTTGGTGGGGCTGTTTGAGGACACCAACTTGTGTGCTATCCACGCCAAGCGAGTCACTATCATGCCCAAAGACATCCAACTGGCCCGCCGGATCCGCGGGGAGCGCGCTTAAACGGAGCGTACCTGGCCCTGTAGGTTAACCCCGAGAAACCCAACGGCTCTTTTCAGAGCCACTAAACTATCCAAAAAGAGCCGAACTGACGCATGATGTGCGTTTCGTTGTTATATAGCCATATCTTATTATTGCACCGGGCTAATTTAGCTGTAATTGCAGGAACTGCATCTGGCTGAAAAAAAAACACAAGTGCGTAGGACTGATACATTTGTGTTATTTAAATTAAAACTCAAGAAGCGTATTTTAATTATAAATTGAGATTTAAATTAGTCACAAAATAATTGAAGTACAGCATCCCTGTCTGCAAATTAGAAATTCACGACAAAACCTCTGTGCTTTTTGCTTCCCTTGGCCTTTCCTCCAGCTCTACTTTCAGCCTCCTGTTTGTTTACCTTGGATTCCAGCATCTGCTGTTTATTTTTTTCTGATAACTGTGACCATGGCTGAGAAGGAGGGCGGGGAAAATGGCGCTAAATCGTTAAACGCTTTCTTACAAATTTGAAAATCCCGCCAATATGTAGAAATCAGGAGGCGGTTTTACACAGAAGAATGCAAGTGTACTTAACGAGTTGATTTGATTTTCAGATTACAAAATCTGTAGTTCACACAATTTGTTTCCTCATTCCACAAGAGGCTTCTCTCTCTCTCTCTCTCGCTACTGTGTGGCTTTAAATGATTTTTTTTTCGAATCTCCTCGGATTATTCTTACCGCTATCTCATATCCCCTCTTTGCCCTCCGGATCTCCCTCTTCAGAATGCACCTACTTTTTTTATACTGCTCAAGAGACTCAGTTAAACCTCATTTTCAATATCTAATTTTTTTTTCTATTCCCAACGTCGAACCTTAATAATCTAATTCAACCATTGCTCATTAATCCTACTTTGGTAGATGTTCTTCGGAACGTTTGTTCAGATTCGATCAATCAAACGGTCTCTTTCTGCTGTGTTTGGATTCCATGAACGTGCTTCCTGATCGATGTATTGATAGGGACACCGTCTTTTCATTAGTTTTAAAGTCTCCCTCCCTTATTCCAGCTTACACCTAACTGCTGTAACTATTGAAGATATTTCTTCACAATTGTCCAGTGAAAATATGTGGGTTGAAATTAGAAAAAGGGAAGGAATGATCACCTTGATGAGATTGTGTTAATAGGCCCCACAATAGTCAGATGGACATTGACGAACATATATGTAGAGACATCGCAGACATAAGTAAGGATAATAATGTTGTAATAGGTGATTTTAATTTTCCAATTGTTGAGTGGGATGACACAAGTGTCCAAGGTTTGGACAGTGAAGAACTTGCTAATTGTGTTCAAGCAAATTTTCTTTGACATGTAAATATTCTTGGTAGAGACAGGGGAAAAAAAAATAATGTTTTCTTCAGTAATAGGGCAGAGCATCCCACTCAGACCCATTCCCCTTTCTAACCCACCTAACCTAAATATCCCTGTGCACAAAGGGCAATTTTAGCTTGGCCAATCCACCTACCCTGCACATCTTTGGACCGTGGGAGGAAACCAGAGCACCTGGAGGAAACCCATGCAGACATGGGGAGAATGTGCAAACTCTCACACAGACAGTCGCCCAAGGCTGGAATCGCACCTGGGTCCCTGGCACTCTGAAGTGCTAACCACTGTGCCACCCATTGGTAGTAGAGTGTTCACAGGTAAGGGGATGTCTGATAAGTGGAAGGCATTCACAAGTGTCATATGAAAGTTCAGAGTTAATATGATTGTCTTGGACTAAAAGGTAAGCTGGCAGGATAAAGGAACAATGGATTAATAAAGATATTGAGGTTCTTGTTGGGAATACAAAAGAAATCGTATTAGATAGAGATGACTGGGTTCAAATGAGTGTAGAGACAGGAGGAAAAAAAATGACCTTTTCATCGGTAATACAGCAGGGCTAGTTACTGGTGTGATAGTGAGGGAGCACTATGGAGTGTAGGGGCATTCTGAAGAGATC